GGACCCCAAGGCAGCAAGGTGAGGGGCCTGGAGAACTCAGAGGTGCCCTCCCGGAATGGACCTGGGTTTAGGTCAGGCTGCATCTCAGGAGTTACCAAGGGAACTGTGTTTGCTTGTTCAGCAAACAAGCAAGATGCAGAACTGTTATACAGTAAGGGGCTATTCATATAAACTCTTTAAATGGGTAAAAGAATTATATGTTTTTATTGTCGACACTATTACAGANGTTATACAGTAAGGGGCTATTCATATAAACTCTTTCAAGTATAAAAGAATTATATATTTTTATTGTTGGCACTATTACAGAGGCCCCCATTCCTATATATATTGATATATATATATATTGAAAGCACACCCACGCCTTTCTGCCCCCCCCTTCTTCCCCCACAGCGTACATCTCCTAAACGCTAAAGGACCTCAGGGGATTTGCAACTAGGGAGCAATGAGCATCAGCAGTTTGTTCCTGGATAACCCCCTGAACCTGTCTCCAAGGCCCTTTTTCTGTGAATTTACAATGATCAAAGCAGCCCAGCCTAGGCTGATTTCTTCGCTATAACAATGAGCCAAGGCAGCCCAGACTAGGCTCTCCTGCTCCTTCTTCTGTCCTAAGCCCTTCCTTGTTTCACGGTGCCCATCTTTAATAAACGTACTCTCAAAATAAAAATAAATACATAGCCCTGGCTGGGTGGACCAAACAGTTGGAGCATCCTCCCCTACACCAAAAAGATTGCAGGTTCGATTCTGGGTCAGGGCACATACCTAGGTTTTGGGTTTGATCCCCAATAGGGGTGCATACTGATCAATGTCTCTCTCTCTCATCAATGTTTCTCTCTCCCCCCTCCTTCCTCTCACTCTAAAATAAATAAAAACATATCCTTGGTTGAAGATTAAAAAACAATAATAATAGCCCTGACCAGTGTTGCTCAGTGGTTAGAGCATCAGCCCATGGACTGAAGGGTCCCAGGTTCGATTCCAGCCAAGAGCAGGTACCTTGCTTCCAGGCTCAATCCCTGGCCCCAGTCCGGGTGCATGCAGGAGACAACAAATCAATGTGTCCCTCTCACATAGATGTCTCTCTCTCTCTCTCTCTCTCTCTCTCTCTCTCTCCTTTCCACTCTTTCTGAAAAGCAATAGAAAAAATATCCCCAGGTGAGGATTAAAAGGACAACAACAATAATAATAGACACAGCGTGGAGGTGCAAGAGGGTATAGGGGGGATAAATGGTGATGGAAAAAATAAAAGAAAGAAAGAAGGATAAATAAATATATATTTATAGATAATTAATAAGCATTAACTATATATAAAATACAAAAGTGAGTAAGAACTAACTAATTCAGAATAGCTGTCATCACAGAGGAGGAAGGTCTGGCAGGTGAGCGGTGCTCTAAGACCTGGCTGCCTGTTGGCTTGCATAGGGACATGTGAGAAAAATTATTAATCATGGTGATTAAGGGGGTTGGGCTGTGGGCCAGGGTAGAGAGTAGTTCATCATTTAATCAGGTCCTGATGTCTGCCATGGCGTCATTCTGTCAACTTTCATGAAAGTGTGGTCAGTAGGGTCGTCCCGCTTTCATGGGTCTGGGGTTTAAACACAGCTGAAATCAAGATGTTATCTCTAACTTACCCAAAACTCTGTGTCTATGGCCAACAGACCTGAGTCTTTGTTCCTAAGACTGTGTGATGCTTACCAGAATCTAATGATTAACAAAGGGGGTGGACAGCCAGTACATGCAAAGGTGGAAGGGCAAGAAAGGAAGGAGGCAAAGTAGTCACGGTGCCATTGGACTGGACAAGGCCAGTGTGAATCAAGAAGACAGAAAGGAGAAACAGAGTTTGTGAATGGTTATGTGGCTTTTATTACATTTCTGTCANCGTGGCCTTTATTACATTTCTGCCATGAATAGGCCAATTTTTTACCTAAATGTAATAGATACCTTATAGACATAGGAGGAAGTAGAGATGATGCTTTGTCTTTTTTTTTTAACATTCTAAGATAATTGGTTGATGTCCCCAATAGAATCATAGGCCTTAATGAAACCTCAGAAAACATTTTCCAGTTATCCTTGGACTATCTTTGTATTACTCTCTGATTTAGAATTCTCTGTCTCTCATAAGAATCTCCAGATTTTGGAAAAAATTACCAACCAAAACACTGATTTCTCGTCATCTTTTAGTCAAACCTTCTTGGGTGACCTTCAGAGTAGAACAGAGTAAATACCAGAAGGTGTGTATTTCCCAAATCCTGTTGACAAGAAAATCTTACTCATGGGTGCAATTCAGGTAAGAGTAGGAAAATGCAGAGAGTATCCTAGGAACCGCTGCCTTCCTCTGCTGATCTCCTCAACACAATGTCCGATATTATCATCTTAATAGTTCATGACAACAGCAACAAGAGTAGCTACCACTCATTTTATTTTCACAATGTTTCAGACTTTAAGAATTCAACATGAATAAACTCACTTAAACCTTACCCCACTCCTATGAGCTAGGTACTATAACGACCACCGTTTCTGATGAGGAAACCAAGGTTTCAGACATATAGAAATGTTTGATTTTTCTGAGATCACAGTATCAGTGGTAGTGCAATATAATCCACAGCCTCTTCTCTAAACCACTTACAAGCTCATTAAACCAGTCATACTTCTATACATTTTACCCTGTCTTATTCATATATCACTACATCATTCATCTGACTGGTGATTCCAAACTCAGCTCTTTTCTGCTATGCTTCAGTGAGAGATGCACTAAGACCCTCTAACTAACAGAAGCTCACTGACGTATACGCAGTTTGTACAGTGGGTGGTCCCAGATGAAGAAGGGTACAGGATCCCCAGTATCAGAGCCTCCCACTCTAATAAAAGAAAGCATCTCCCATCCCTGAAAAGCTTCAGGTTTGATGACTGAGGAACAACAAATAAATAATAACGTGACTTAAGGACTTCATCTATGTTACACACTATTCAATAGAAACTTATCCATCTGGAACTGATTTCAAAGGTCCACTCCTGTAGGAGGAAGTACCAGCTTCTTTCTCTGACCTCTAATTAGGCCACTCTCATCTTGTTTGGAACCATTTGTTCAGCCTGCCTGGCTCTGCCTTGTGAGCTCTTTGAGAGGCTGATTCTTCTAAGAAGTCCCAGGCTCAGCTCAGGGTCCCTGAGGGTCCCCTGAATGTTTGCTGAATGAATGATTTCATATTTACAAATTAAACTAGAGGAAGGTCAATGAATACTAAAGATAATTAATGTGCAATTTCAAATATGGAGATGGCTGAGGGGTAAACTGATAACAGGACTGTAATCTCAGTCATAATTTATTAAATAGCTCACAAAACACTTTGGTGTGGACATAATTATATTTCATGTTCACTATAACATTAAGAATGAGCATGTTATAGATCAGGAAACTGAAGAGAACTAGCTAGTGACACAACCTTACTCAAATATAATTGATGGGAGCCAGCTAATCTAATCACAAATATTCTTTCCAAGATATAGCAATTTGCAAATTTCAACACCACTTTCTTTATTGTTTAGATATGTTTCTGCCAACTATTTCTTTTTTCTCTCCCCAATACCCCTCACTTTCACTATTGTAGAGAAAGCTGAAAGGAAAGAACCTTAAGNGTAGAGAAAGCTGAAAGGAAAGAGCCTTAAGGCATGGGTTCCAATCTTGGATTCACTACCCACAATGGCCCTTTCTTTTCCCTCTAATATTCATACTTCCCAGGTATTTCCAAGGGTTGTTGAAGTATTGATTAAAGTCATGCATGTAAAATATATCATAAGTCTTAAAGCATTAAGAAATGAATGTTGTCTTTTAACGTGTGACTTTTACATTGCAGGCAATGTCCAGGGCACCATTAAGTAATGATTCCAGTTTGAAGGAATTGTCAGGAACAGCAAATCTGCTGACCACAAGTGGTTCAGAGCCGGCCCAGAAACCAGTGTCCCCTCCTGGGGAAGCAAGTACCTCTGGACAGCACTCTAGACCAAAATTGGGTAAGAGAAAATAATTTGGAGGTTTCAGTTCCACTAAGTCCTCTAGAAAGGCTGATAAGTATGGCTTATGTATGTGGGGTAGACTGCAGAGGCCTGGATTGAAGCTGGACTAAGCTGAGACAGAAGGTAGCACTGGAACTTTGGGCAAATCTTATAAACCCTGAGCTCCTGAATGCTCATGTGTAAAGGGAACATAAGGATACATAACTCATATATTGTTTGAGAGCATTACATTATATTTAAAGTAACTGACACATNCAATAATTTGAAGGTTTCAGTTCCACTAAGTCCTCTAGAAAGGCTGATAAGTATGGCTTATGTATGTGGGGTAGACTGCAGAGGCCTGGATTGAAGCTGGACTAAGCTGAGACAGAAGGTAGCACTGGAACTTTGGGCAAATCTTATAAACCCTGAGCTCCTGAATGCTCATGTGTAAAGGGAACATAAGGATACATAACTCATATATTGTTTGAGAGCATTACATTATATTTAAAGTAACTGACACATGCAAGTTTTCCAATAAATCCGTCTGTGATAATAGCAACCATACTTTCTTGGTGTTGTACGCCCAAGCCTTTACTCAATACCTAACCCATAATGTGCCCTCAATAAATATTTTATGAATGAGTAAAGATTGGGAAAGATTTTCCCTGNATAAAGACTGGGAAAAATTTTCCCTGCTAATGGGAAAATCTAGAAACTAAAATTGAATCGGTCCTCAGTAGTCTTTGTGGAGTCTTAGTCTCTCTTAGTTAACAGAGGAAAATACCAGAGTATATAGAACAGGTAATAATTTAATGGGAGGAGATTGTGTGTTTTCTGACAAAACAGGGACCAGCACTCCACACCCCACCACCCTCTCTCACCTGCTCTTATCCAACTTAGAACTCAGGAGGAAGGGGATGGAAGTGCAGATGTACAGCCTACGAGAAAGAAAGGGCCACGTGTACCAAGAGGTCAGCGAACCCCAGGACGACGACTACCTCTGTAAGTGACCCTCACCAAGAAGCATGTTATATCTTGATACAATAATTTCATCTGGTCATTGGGTGCCCAAATCATTCCCTTCCTCTAGTGACCTGGAGTACAGGATTGAGGCTCAATTCTGTGAGTGCCTGGGTTCTCTCTGAAGCTCTTTATGTCCGGGAACATTCACTACACCTTTCCTGATCCCTGTTCCTCTTGCCTCCAGATTGTGAGAAGTGTCAGAACTTCTTCATTGACAGCTGTGCTGTGCATGGGCCCCCTATATTTGTAAAAGACAGTGCAGTGGACAAGGGGCACCCCAACTGCTCAACCCTCACTCTGCCCCCTGGGTTGAAAATCAGACTGTCAGGCATCCCTGAGGCTGGGTTTGGAGTGTGGAACGAGGAATCGGATCTGCAGGTGGGTCTGCACTTTGGCCCTCATGAGGGCCAGATCACAGAAGATGAAGATGCAGCCAACAGTGGATACCCCTGTCCTCTGGCNTCTGTCCTCTGGCTTCACATATCCCTCCTGTGTGGGACCCCACCTTCTACATGCTAGATCATGGGTGGGCATAATATGGTTAGCTCTGTGTACTGAGTGGAGTTTGTATGAACAGGGAGCTCCTGTTTGAGGATCAGACCGTGAGTGGGAGCAAGGTGGTACAGACACAAAGGAGCGGCTCCTCCCTGTGAGACTCCTGCTCTGACTGGACAAATGGACTCAGACATATAGATTATGAGTCAGAAAAATATCGTGTGGTCACCATGAACAGCTGAATCCCCAGGCAGGCTGAAAGAGCTTTGATGACAGTAGAGTAAAATAATTCTTCTATTACCTCTCCACCAAGAAAAAAAAAAAGAAAGCCTTTAACTTCTTTTCATGAAATGCAGATCACCAAAGGGAGAAACTGCTATGAGTATGTGGATGGAAAGGATAAATCCTGGGCCAACTGGATGAGGTAAGGTCAATAGGTTTCCAGGTGCCAGAGAGGACACTCATCCCTCACAAGCCCATATGTCTTTCCATGTCATCACACCTCCCTCAGTGGTCTCCCTCAGTCCTCTCTTCCTCTTTTTTCTTCATACAGTGTTCTTTCACATCAAGAGACATTTAGAAAATAAAGAGATAAAAGTATAGCACATGTCCTCAAAATACAAATCTCTATGCTAGTCAAAATTTGGGTACTGGGAAAAACCTTGAGGACCCTGGATTACCCTTTAATTTATCTAATGAACATTAATTAAGCACTTACTATGTTCCAGTTTAGACAAAGGAATTCATTGCTTAAACCTATCACACAGCCCATGTCCTTATTGCAGACAGACATGAAAAAATTTATTTTAGAAATATTTAACTGTAATTTTCCTATTTTTTGAGAGGTACACACTGCCAGCATAGCTTAAACCAAGCATAGCCTAAGCCTGCGAGTGCAGCAAATCATCCCAGCCTCAGTTCTAGAACCGAGTTTTGAAGCCTGCAGAGTTATAATGTCATAGGCCCCTTTTCTGAGGGGCTCTCTTCTATCAGGGGATACAGGTTGTAAATAAACTACTATCGTTCTATGTTATTTTTCTAAGACAAGGAGACCTCCGGGTTTCTGTGAGAACCTGGAGGAGGCACGTGAATGGTGCCTTAAATAAAGTGTGGGAAGACAGGAGAAAGGCCTCTCCAGAGGAGATAGACTTGGGGCCGAGTATTGAATGATATGAGCTAATCTAGAAGCAGAGTCCTAGATCAAGCACCAAGCTCTGTGGTATGAAACAGAACCTGATTTAGAGCTTATAGAAGCTAGAGGTCACTGGGTTAAGTCTGGAATCGAGCTTTGGGAAGTGGTATTAGGCAGGATGAGCATCGACTGTAAGCAGGACTTGAAGATAGGAATTCACATGACCTTGTGACAGAAGCTCAGACATTGGACAGAAGGTTCCCCAGGAACATTTGGGAGAGTGGATGACATCAGAGTCTGAGGGCCTTAAGCATCAGGTGAGGAGCTGGACATGAATCTAACAAGTAGTGGGAAATCATCACCTGTGGTTTTCTTTCCTTTCATCTGCCTCAATCCCAGGTATGTGAACTGTGCCCGGGATGATGAAGAGCAGAACCTGGTGGCCTTTCAATACCACAGGCAGATTTTCTACCGAACCTGCCAGGTCGTCAGGACAGGCTGTGAGCTGCTGGTCTGGTATGGGGAGGAGTACGGCCAGGAGCTGGGCATCAAGTGGGGCAGCAAGTGGAAGAGAGAGCTCGTGGCAGGGAGAGGTAGGCACACTCTTCTTCCAAATGGAAAGACAGAAAATTCTCCTTAGAAATTTTCATGGTCCAACTCTTAAGTAGAATATATATATATAATGTTTTTATGGATTTCAGGGAGACGATGGATTTCAGGGAGAGGAAGGAAGAGACAGGAACATTAATGTTGACAGAGATTGATCGGCTGCCTCCTGCACGCCCCCTACTGGGGATCAAGCCCAAAACTCGAGCATGCGCCCTGACTGGGAATCAAACCCTGACAGCCTGGTTCATGGGTCAACACTCAACCACTGAGCCCCACCAGCCGGGCCAATTTGTAAATTTTTAATTTTTGTTCTAATTTTTCTTTTTTTTACATATGTTTTTGTGGATTTCAGAGAGAGTAAGGGAGAGGGGGACAGAGATAGGAACATCAATGCACACCCCCTGCTGGGGTTCGAGCCCGCAACTGAGGTATGTGCCCTTGACCAGAATCGAACCTGAGACCCCTTAGTCCAAGAGCCGATGCTCCAACCACTGAGCAAAACTCAGTGGTTGTTTCTTCTTAATTTCCTCCATATTTCTAAATGAAATGTGTATGTTAATATGTATTCATTCATTACTTCAGTTAATTGTCATGTGAGTTCCTACTCTGTGCCACACAGGGTTCCAGGAGCTGAAAATACAGATTAACATGATGATCAAGTCACTGCTGTTGAGCAGCTGACGGGTGAAGGAGAGAAAGCCAGGCATACACGCGTGCATGTGTACAATATTACACAGTGATTAGTACTTTGCAGAAAACAGATTCAGGACAAGTGCCTGGGGATCAGTGTGAGGGAAGGGTACATGTGGCAGATTGTCAGGAAAAGGTTCTCTCAGGAGATAACATTTACAAACATCCCTGTGGGCAAAGGTTCCCAGCATAGAGAGCAGCAAGCACAGGTCTTGGTCCCAGTAGAGGGTAAGAATGGAGGTCAGATAGATGCCTACTAGCCTGGAAGTGCAGTGCCTACAATCCAAGCTGAGACACGGGAATTTCCTGAGTGAGGTGGGACAATTGTGCAGTTTTCAGCTGCAGAGTGGCATGTTCTCTGTTTTAAGATTGTTTTGTTAATTTTGGGAAAATAAACTTCAGTGGGGAATCCCCTCAGAGATCACTTCATCTCCAAGTGAGAGAAGGTGCCAGACTGGCTGGAGAGGGATGGGAGCCAAGCATGTAAGAAGTACGGTTGGGGAAATATTTCTAAACAGAACTTCCTATTGTATTTGAAATGGGCTAACACTGAATGGAATCAAGCATGAATACTTGGTGTGAGGCTTGAGGAAGGATATATTTTCATTTTATGATTTGTGGAAACTGAGAGAGAAGTGATTTCTAGTTGGGGCCTGTGATTTTTATCTTTAACATGACAGAAGATACATGTATATAAAAAGTCACTGCAGGTCCATCCATAGAAGGAGTGAAATGGCCCCTGATGCTCCCTGAAAGTCCCTACCTAGTCTGGCAATACGTAGAAAAGACCTTTGATATGGGCTTTCTGGATTCCTGAAGAAGATGCAGTGCATAAAAATGAAAAGTAGATTATGAAAGAACCCTTTGTGGGAGACTGAGCTTGCATTGTCAGCACTATAAGAATGATTTGTGGGATGGGTCCTATCAGGAGACAAAGCCCAGGCAACCTTGTCAATACTTGCCCTGACTAAAGCTTACTCTTTCAGCAGAACCAAAGCCAGAGATTCACCCATGTCCCTCCTGCTCTATGGCCTTCTCCAGTCAGACATTCCTCAGCCAACATGTGAAATGCAATCACCCCTCTGAGATTCTGCCAAGAACATCTTCAAGAAAACACCTCCAATCAGAGGAACCCTGCCCAGAGGATCAGAAACAGCAGCAGCAACATACAGATACACAGAGCTGGAATGACAAAGCTGAAGGTCAAGAGGTCAAAGGAAGGTCCAAATCTTTGATAAAAAGGATCAAGCAAAGGAGAATTTCAAGGGCCTCTTTCCAACCTCCCAACAGACAAATGGGGAGCTCTAGTGAGCATGAGAGAATAATGGAGGAAGAGCCCAGCAGAGGCAAGAAAGTGAATCCAGAAGACACAGGCAAATTATCTGTGGGAGTAGGAATGTCAGGAATTGTAACAATCAGGTATGGAGGGTGTGGTCAAGGCTGTGAGGATGGGTCGCATCTCATCAGGCACCAGAGGACACATTCAGGGGAGAAGCCCTATGTTTGCAGGGAGTGTGGGCAAGGCTTTGCATGTAAGTCCTATCTCATCAAACACCAGAGGACACACTCAGGGGAGAAGCCCTATGTTTGCAGGGTGTGTGGGCGAGGCTTTGCATGTAACTCCTATCTCATCAAACACCAGAGGACACACTCAGAGGAGAAGCCCTATGTTTGCAGGGAGTGTGGGCGAGGCTTTGCACAGAAGTCAGCTCTCAACAGACACCAGACGACACACTCAGGGGAGAAGCCCTATGTTTGCAGGGAGTGTGGGCGAGGCTTTGCACGCACGTCACAGCTCATCACACACCAGAGGACACACTCAGGGGAGAAGCCCTATGTTTGCAGGGAGTGTGAGTCATTAGCATTAAATCATGTCTCAGCAGCTATAGGACAAATGTAGCCACCACACACTTTATACCCCAGCTCTGAGGAAACTTCAGAGGAAGTCTCCTGGCCCCTTACCCTCCCCGAGTGCAGTCAGTACGGAAGTAACTGGTTAAACAAATCCGCCACTTTCATGACAAGAGATGAGACAGACAAACAGTTCCTTAAGTGCTACAGGGAGGTCAACACCAAGCTCCTCCACAGTTATTTGGGTTTTTTTGCCTCCTGTTTTAATAAATTTTGTATCCATATAAATCTGAAGCCCACGTACTTCATTCCCCTCTTATCACTGAAAGCAGAGAGTTCCAGGAGGGCCACAGAGAACTTGTACTCACAGCCACAGAAACTTCACCCCTGAAAGGTGTCACTCTGGAGTCAACCTAGTTAGGTTACTGCCCAGAGAGAGGGATTTGAGACAGACTCACCAGGGAAGGGAATTCCCTGGACTCCTGGGAAGCGGGGCCTTTTTTCCTACTAGGTTCCCCACCCCCTCCCGTGACTTCTCTTGGCTCTCCTACTGGTTTCCTTCAACCTCCGTAGCCTCAGAGGTGAAAGTCAGGGAGGGACCGGGGTGTGTGCATGTAGTTGTGCCTGGCTCAGCCTGGGCACCTGGTCTCCCTCACACTCTCCTTGCTGCTCCTTTAGGGCCAGCATCTCGTGGTACATAGCATGTGGACTCCAAATCAGTCCACAGTGGGTTTGAGTCTCAACTCTCCCCTTACCGGGTGTGTGACCTAAGGCAAGATTCTCAACTTCTCTGTGCCTGTTTTCTAATCTATAAAATCAGAACCCCAGCCTTTTGGGTGAACATTCAAAGTTGAGTCAGCACAGGCAGAATCTGGCAGAGGATGCCTGAGAACACAAGTTTCTCCCTGAAGAGCTTTCAGTGCCCACATCGCCCAGGTCTTTAGTGGTGGACAAGGGGAGATAGAGAGAGGATGGGGCCTGGGACCCAAATTCAGCGGCTGAGCACACACTACTTTCTCCGCTTGGACTCAGCTGCCCTAAGATAAGGAGGCATGAGGTCAGGGATGCACCTCCCTACAGATCACCTCCCTCCCACTGAGCGTGGGCAGTCTCAGGGCCTACCTCAACCCAGGCCAGTGGCACTGAAAATGGCTATGAAACAAGACTGTCCCCCACCCCTTGCTGAGAGCTGACTGCGTGCACCTCATCTGCGCACGGTGCTTGTGAAGCCCACCACACAGCAGCTTCTGCAGTGGACTCACCTGGTACGTGGGCCAGTGTGATTTGACACCACTGACACCATCCCTAAATTCTTTTTTTTTTCTTTTAAAATATGTCCTTATTGATTTCAGAGAGAAGAAAGGAGAGGGAAAGAGAGATAGAAACATCAATGATGAGAGAGTCATTGATGGGCTGCCTCCTGCATGCTCCTGGCTAGGGATGGAGCCCACAACCTGGACATGTGCCCTGACCCGGAATTGAACCCCAACCGCCTGGATCCTAAGTCGATACTCAACCGCTGAGCCATTCCCAGCCTGGCTCTAAATTCTTAATTACCATATCGTTAATCTTTGTTAAGTGAAGCCTGATGGGACAATGGACATGCTATGAGCAGAGCAGATATGCAATATTGGTCATTCCTGGGCCACCCATTCACAGCTAATGTCCACAGTGGCCCAGGAGCACAGAATTCCCGTGGACCCAATGGGTGGGAGTCCGGTGAGATTCCAGGGAGAACAGGGTAAACATCTCTGGGGAAACGAGGGTGCTGACAGCTCCCAGAGACCCCACTTTTCTTAGAACCAGAATGGACTTCAGTACAGAGAGAAGACAAACAGTGAGGGACCCTGTCATACCTTCTCCTGCCTCAGGGAGACCTAAGTATAACACCGTTCCTGCTGGTGGGTTCACGAGAGGGGGACGCCCAAACTCCATGACCTTTCTGTCCCTCCTCCGATGCCAGACTTGTGAGGAGTCTACGTAAACTTTGTGGATTTCAACTATATCCCCCACTTTTTTTCATGCTTTTTTAAAGGAAGGACAGTGCAGATTTAGTTTTGTTTCCCTCCCCTGTGCAGCACCCCCCAACCACCCGGGAGAGAATGCTATAAACTTTCAATATTCCGTGGCTTCTGCAATGGGCCACGGGACAGGGACAGATCCTGGCACAATGCTGGCCGAGAAGCTGGAACTGCAATAGCATTGGGAGGGGAACCCACACACTGTCCGTGGTGGTCACCTGCACCCCCAGCAGGACTGACCCTGGGCCTCTCCAAGGAGGATGAGAAATTCAAGACAGGTAGAGACAGGCCTGTTCCCTCTCCCTCCCCTTCAGCAACAGACCACATTCCCGCTGTGGCCAACAGCCTCCAACATGTCCCCAAAATTCCACCTCCTGTCACCTATGCCCCTGTACAGTCAGTCCCTCCCTCACAGAAAAGGGCTGTCCTTGCTGTGAAAATGGCGGGTGGCTCCCAAAGCTAAGCCATAGAAAGGCACTGTTGCTTCAGCCTTGCTCTCACAGCTCACATGGTCTCAGGTTACCTTCTGTGGGGAGCTGGGAGTTCACACACCCCTGGTTTTGAAGAGGAGGCTTCCAGGAGTGAGTACAGCCTGACTTCTGCTGGATTCTGAGTCTCGTGTCCCCTGACAGGCAGCTGAGGTCACTGTCCTGTCCTTATGACATCTGGTGGGCTGCCAAGGCCACTCCAACTACACCTGCTGGCTTCCCAGCTCCTCCACCTGACAGTGAGTGCCTGGAGCAGGAGGGGTTGATAGTCTGGGCAAAAAGGACCTCAGCAGCTGAGGCAACATGATAGCCTGGCCTGAGGCCTCCGTCACACACTCCACCCTGTGACCCCAGCGGAAGATGCAGGTGTTGCCAGCTCCGCCCGGCTTCTGCTCAGCTTGTCTACCACCCAGGTTAGGGGACTGCTGGCTTACTTGGGGACCATAGTAGGGCAGGTGAGGGGTCACTCCCCAGAATGGTCAGCCAAAATCCAGAACAGCTGACTGCCCTCCACAGCTGGGGTCAGATAAGCCTTGTCTGAAACTTGGCAAATTTGTCTTGATTCCCTGACCCTGTCCCGTCTGCCCCCCATCTGACACTGGTCCTAATTACCCTGGACAGCGTCTGACCCAGCCTCTGAGAACTGCCCTTGGGGAGGTATGTCATCCACAGACGCTGTCTTCAAAGACCGGACTTCTTAAAACTTATTGAAGAATGCTTTTTTTTAAAAAGAAATTTTTTTAAAGAAACAAGATGGTGTAGGTAACAGCTGTACCTGCCGCCTCCCACAATCGCATCAAAATTACAACTAAAATAAAGAACAACTATCACTCAGAACCTCCTGAGATCTGGCTGAACAGAAGCCCTACAACCAGGGAACTGAAGAAGCATCAAGACCGGTAGGAGGGGTGGAGACGCAGGTGGTTCAGGGCTGAATCTTGGAAACGGGGTCACGGGCCCACACCCGGGGCCGCGTGTTAAACCCCAGAGGGAATTTCCGCAGCGCAAGTCTCCCAGAGGAGTGAGGGGTCCCAGCCCCACATCCCAAGGCTCCAGGGCCGGGAAGAGACGTCTCCACAACTTGGGGCTGTGAAAACCAGTGGGGACTGTGGCTGAGGGTCTCGGAGGCTGTGCGAGCCCCAGGCAGCTCCTCTTAAAGGGCCCGCGCACAGACCCACTCAGACGCGCTACCTCTGAGCCCAGCGCTGGGCAGCAGCTTGAAAGAAATGTGGGACACTTGGCGAGGAACTGACTTGCCTGAAATCGGGCGAGAGGTGGAGGGGCAGCTTTCTCCCAGGCAGAAGGGGTGGCGGAGGTCATTGCTCCTTTGACGAGCCCTCCCCACACAGAGCTGGCAGGCACCACATTTGAATCACCAGCACCTGACTGACACCTTTGGCCCCGCCCCGTGATTCCAGGAGGCCCCGCCTCTCCCCACCTGCAGCTCATCCAGGCCCTTTCCAGTGGATTTCCTGTGCAATTGGCCTCCTGAGCCTTATGCTTAGGACTTTCCTAAAATCTCTCAAACAAGCAGCAGCTGCCCCATACAGCTTGCTAAGGGGCCCCAGGCCTGGCACTAGTGGCAGCCTGCATTGGCTCATAACTTGGCCTCAACTGGACAATGCCAATCCCAGCACAAGTAGCAGCCAACTACAGTTTGCTGTGTAGCTCATGCTGGGGGGCCCTGGGCAGGGCACAGGCAGAGGCTGACTTTGCACCTCCCAGGAGGCCTCAGAGACAATGCACCCAGTGGTCAGACTCGACCACACTGGATTATAACCCTACCACATCCACGAGTGACACACTCAAGGGGCACACTTGGTGAACACCAAAGCTCCACTGAAGTAAATCCTGCTCCATAGGAGTGTCTCCAGC